TTGTGGTGGCTTGGTGTATTTCTCCACCTTCCGTCGCCAGCTTCTCGGAGGGCTCAACCTCTGTTGGGCATTCATCGAGTCTTTCAACTCTTGTGGGCGGCACAAGCAACTTATTCCAATTGGTGTAAAGCTTGAGATAACTCGTTTCTTATGCCTAGTCCCTCTCTGTCGTATGGACTTCCGCTTGAAGATGAACCCCAGGGTCACCTGCAGCGAAGCGTCACAGCATGGAGGAGGTGTCTGCGTAGCCACAAGCCTCACAAACTACGGGGAAAAGGTGGCCCTGGGCGAGGAGCGCCGTGAGATGGTGGCAGGCAGCGGACCACGGATCTTGAGCATTGGCCTCTTTGATGGCATCGGCTGCCTCAGAGTCGCCCTGGATCTGCTTGGGTGCGACGTGATAGGTCACATCTGTGTTGAAAAGGACGCTGGCGCTCGCCGGGTGGTTGAACACCACTTCCCAGATAGTTGGCACTATGACGATGTTGCGGAGATCTCGACGGAGGACGTCCAGCGTTGGGCACTACGGTTTGGGCAGGCCTCGCTGATCCTAATTGGCGCTGGGCCACCATGCCAAGGAGTCTCAGGACCCAACAGTCAACGCAAGGGGGCATTGCGTGATGAGCGATCATCATTGTTCGTGCACGTGAAGCGATTGCGTGATCTGGTACAGTGTTGTTTCCCTTGGGGGCAGGTCCACTGCTTGATGGAGAGCGTAGCATCCATGGATGATCGTGATAAGGACATCATGACGAAGTCATTCGGGGATCAACCCTGGAACATCGACGCTGGGACGTTTTGTTGGTGCAGCAGGCCACGGCTGTATTGGATCAGCTGGGAACTCAATGAGCAGCAGGAAGATGTGGAGATTGAGGGCAGGCGCGTGATATTGACGGGGCATCAGCCCTGGTCGTCCTCGGTAGAAGCTGGGTGGACAAAAGTCGACGGAGACAGGCCATTCCCTACGTTTACAACGTCAAGACCACGTACATCACGGGGCCATCGCCCTGCAGGCCTGGATGCGTGCGACAAAGCCACCATCACCCGGTGGGAGGACGATCTACATAGGTTCCCGCCATACCAGTACATTCCCCGCAATTGTGTGGTCAACAAACGTGGTGAATACAGGCTTCCGAATATCCGAGAACGAGAATACATGATGGGACTGCCCATCGGTTACACGCTGATGTGCATGCCCAAGTCAAAGCGGAAGCTCCCCGAGTGCATGGACAAGCGGCTGACCTTGGTCGGGAATGCCTGGGCTGTACCAGTGGTCACTTGGCTTATTGGTCAATTGGTAGGACCGCGGGGAGCTGGACCCCTGTTGCCTCCGGCTGAGATTCTTTCTCGGTTGACCTTGGAGGGGAATCCGTATATCCAGTCGCGTCTCCTCCGAGCACCCCTCAAGACGGATCAGCGTGCAAGTACAGGAGCAGAGGATGCCTTGGCACAGCACTTAGGCCGTCTAGTTTCCACAAAGGGGTCTGACCTTATGATCACCGCGGCGCAGGATGAGGTTCAAAGCTATCAGCGACTTCGACATACTGTGAATGCAAAAATGTGGCGTTGGAAGGTGGTATCCGGCTGGAGGTGGCGAACGCCGGGAGAGCACATCAACTCGTTGGAGCTTAGAGCTATTTTGGCTTGTCTTCGATGGCGATGTGAGCATCTGGGGGAACATGGATGTCGCATCCTTCACCTCACAGACTCCCTGGTCTGCCTACACAGCCTCAGCAGGGGAAGGACATCATCACGCCGCCTACGAAGAACCCTTTGCCGTATCAACTCGCTTCTATTGGCTCACAACCTGGGCGCCCTTTGGGGCTATGTGCATACTGACCTCAACCCGGCGGATAAGCCGTCGCGGTGGTCAGTGAAGACGAAGTTCAAGCATGCCAAAGGTCGTACTTGAGGGGACCACTCAAGCCAGTAGAGCGAAAGAAAGGCAAAGGTTAGGAACTTTGAGAGGCCTTACGGTCCAACCCGCCACACGTGTGCGATATGATCGAGCTTTGAATCGTTTCCTCTCCTTTCTCAAAGAGGAAGGTTTGGAGTTGCCTACCCGTCGCAGCCTGCTAGACCCTCTTGTGATGGAATACATAGAACATCTCTGGCGCACCGGGGAGGGGCGTGGACTGGCCGCCGACACCCTGGCGTCATTGCAGGACTTTGACGCGAAAATTCGGGGGCAACTCCCTGGTGCCTGGCGCTTTGTCAAAACGTGGGTCACGCACGAACTGCCCAACAGGGCTCCACCCATGCCTGAAACCATCCTCCACTCCATGGTCGGATGGGCCTTATACCACCAGCATTTTTCCTTCGCTACCAGCCTTTTACTTTGTTTTTACGGCACCCTACGCACGGGTGAATTGCTTGATGTTACAAAGCGTCGGATCGATATTTCCGAAAACCTTCGAGTAGCTGTTGTAAGTCTTGGCCTGACAAAAGCCGGCAAGAGGGCTGGCGCACAGGAAAGTGTCACGGTAGGCCATGACACAGCTTTCCGTTACTTGCAACACTGGATGTCCCTTGCTACTTTACACCAGCGACTTTGTCCGCCAGCAGCCCGTTGGCGAAAACTTTTTAAAACGCGCATAGAAGCCCTGCACCTGGAGCCCCTAGACCTGAGACCATACTCTCTCCGAAGGGGAGGGGCTACATGGTGGTTTTGCCAGCATGGAAACCTAGATCGCGTAATGCTTCTAGGTCGCTGGCAAGCCCAAAAAACGGCTCGGTTATATTTGAACGAGTCAAGAGCCGTTTTGACAGAAATGCAACTTGGTCCCTTTCAGCATTTTCTGACACCATACCGTACTTTCTTTGCAAATTCCACCCCCAAGTCTTTTAAAACACTTGAGCCGCTGCAAAGCAGCAGGCCGTCCGCCGGAACTCGGCGGCTCGGGGGACGTGGAAAGAAGGGTAAGAAAACCCTTAAGAGACCTTCTAGAAGCTCATGAAGAGCGAAAAAAGGCTCCCTTTTAACTCCCCAGGACCTAGCCAGGGACTGGGGTCTGGCCCGCCTGGTTGGGGGGGAGGGTTACCCGGGTTCGTCCCCTTCTTTGTGTAGTGGACCAAAGAAGGGGGGGGGGTAACCATCCTGGTCGGTTTCTTTTTTCGTAGTTTTCCCTGATTGTTTACTATTATTTTGACAAACTTGCTGCAGAGCGAACTAGAAAAGGAGGCTGACGAGTCTTTATATATATATATGGCCTTGTAACTGTTGGTGTGCACCGCCATTCCCTACCTAACTCGTCATCGTTTGGATCGGCGGCTGTCTCCTGCAGATGGTGTCTCCTGATTTCGTGAGAGCACCAGAGTGGGACGTTCCAGGAGCTTTTGCTGCCTCCTTTCCTCGCATATGACTTTGAGGAGGAGTTCTCCATCGACCCAAGCATGGAGCTACCCGAGAAGCAAACTCGAATGGAAGAACTCGAAGAGCAACTCGTTTGACTCCAGAGGACGTGGTGTTTTTGATCCCAGACACTCCACGTATGGGAGGCTCCTATAATGCCTAATTACATAGATCACTGAAAACAACCCAACTGATCGGTCAATATGCCGGTCCGGGGATTTGGACTGGGTGGTGGCCGGACTGGATTGGTTCATTTCCAAAAGCAGTTGGACTGAGTCCGAAGACCAACACATCACTTGTGACGGCGCTACGTTCAACTTGTAAACGACGGTGCGTCAAGCTGCTTTACATACACTTGGTTGCAGTAGTGGGGAAGGCAGAGTATCCAGGTGTTTGCAATTTTGCAAGTCGTGAGGTTTTGGGATCTTCGATTGCCAGAAAATCTCAAGCACTTTGTCCTTGGCTTGCTGCCTCACCTCAACCATTCCGAGGCAGGACAGCACGTTGGCCTTATCGGGAACTAGTGAGGCAGCGGGGAACTGGAGCCCAGGCACAGTAATCTCAACACTAAAACATATTAAAACAGTGTCAATTCCGTTCGCCCCTTTGGCGAGGCTCTTGAAAGTATTTGTCTTTGAACTGTTCATGACATACGGTTTGGGTGTCAAGTTACTTGTTGGGCTGCCAGTTGAGTATGAGTTGAGCCTTTAAGACTTAAAGACCTACACTCACTCACTGGAATCATCATGGAAGTGGATGGCATGGCCCCAATTTCGGAAGACCTCACCCTCATACGAAACGTGCCACCCACTTCCACTACTATTCCCGGGAGGGTAGGAACCTGCTTGGTTTGCTGATTTTCTCCTTGAAGGACGTTGTGACTGTGACTGCTTCAGATTTGTCACCCATGCCTTGAGGACCCATGGAACCACTCAAGAGGAACCACTCAAGTATCGGTTTTGCAGGTCATCCTCCTATATTTCCCGGTACACCTCCCATTCAGCAAGCTCTCAGCGTTCGCTCTCGCAGGCCTCAACTCCAGCTGACGGATTTCAAGTGTCCTTGCGCTTCTTGCGAAGCTTTGAGCCTGTGACACCAGTGGCGGAGCTCCTACAAGATCCTCAGCAATACCTCTACCGCTGGGACAAGGAACACACAGATGCATGCGTGGCAAGTGATGCGCCTGAGATGGTGCTCGACAAAGATGGAGCAGCAAAAGAGATGACAGGGTAGGACCATTACGGGAGGTGGGAGTTCAATGGGAGCTTTGATGTTGTCCATGCATCAATCACAATCAGTGTTGGCTCATACCCTTTCAGGCGTGTAGAAACAAACATGGGAGAAGACTAAGTAACTACAGTACTTGAATGAGCCGGTATTTTCCAGGGAATGGACAGACTCTTGTTTGATTGAAGAGCCTTCATAGGGAGGTCATTGATCAACAAAGCCTACACCAATTTCAAAGACCACACAATTCTCGATTAGGCCGGCCCAGCTTGTCCCGCTTCCCTTCTTTGACAAGGGCACCCAACGGCATATGAGGGCACCATGCATTCGGCACCATGCTGGCTGATCATTTCACAACTTCACCGATTTCTGTCGCAAAGTTCGCATCATGTTGATTCTGAACGCCGCAGATCTTTGGCAGGTCTACAGTATGCCTGCAGCTCAGAGTTCGGACGAGTTCGCACGATTCCGCCGAGGATTCGATGAACCGACGCTTCGCCAAGTGGTTGGTCCGAACTGACCCGGGGTCAGACTTGGTGCTTCGGTCCTCTATAGGGGCCTAATTATACTGGTTGGTGGTTTTTGTTGCGTGGAGAGCATGCGTGTTTTGATACGTGCAGCAAGTCATGAAAAGCAAGATGAACAGGACAAAGACAGTTAGATGAACGATGCTAACAGCTTCTTCCCTGGTGCACTGCTGATGGTTGATAACCCTGAGGTCGGACTTTGCCCAAGAGATTAAGGATCGTTTGTCAAACGTAGCTTGGTGGACGGCAGGGGTGCGGAGGGACAGGCAAAGCAACCTGAAGGAAAGTGAACATCCACTCTGAGGGAAACAATTCCAAATGACAGAAGACTGGAAGGGCATATGACTTGCTTTTCAGTCCTTGTTCCATGGGGAGAGCGTTGCGACAAGGGTGGTGCCCTGCCCTGATCGATGATCGCTGATTTAAAATGGGCCACATGAATTGCACAGGTATACTGGACACAATTCTTGTGTATACACAATTCTTGTGTATGTCTATATAGTTATAGTTATTCCATCAACCCACTGCGCGACTATGAGTTTTATGGACTTTCAAGCATCAACCCAGGTGACAGAGGTGAAGACAGCCTTGACAGCCATGGTCAGCCCAGTTCAGCCGTATGTTCCAGAAAACCAGTCTTCTTTCTTCTGCAGCCCCGCACTGCGGAAAACTTGCTCGCGGCCTTCGTGGTAAGGTGCAGATTGGCCAGAAGGTGTCGATGGAGAACTTGGATGAAGAGGTGAGTCGGGCGACGTCCGATGAAGGCTTCTCTATCGACCGGAAGTCCGACGTTTTGCCAAGCCTGTTGGTGGGGAACCCACTCAACCTGGCCGTCCCCCAACTAGAAAAGGTTGTTGGAAATCACTTCTCATAATGTCAGATGATATTTATGTGAATATTTTAATATGTGTTTATCATTTATCCTCAACTCTTATTGCTCATACAGATATAACACCCCACCATCCCTTCCAGATCTTGACCTTTGCTCCTCCCAACTCCAACGCTCAGTGGCCAGGAGCGTGCGGTGGTCCATGAAGTGGCCAGGGCTTTTGGACTCCACGGCACCGAGTCGGAAGGCAAAGTGGGTGACTCGGGTGACTCAAAGGGGAGCCCTGAGTGAGCCCTGGGTGATATCAGTGCAGTGAGCCCTGGTGGTTTGTTTCTTTTTTTGTCTTTTTTGCGGGTGGTGACTTGTGTTGTGTGTTGATTGTGTTGCGCCTGGTCTTAGGTGCTTTAGGCGGTATAGAGATTGGGGGGTTTCTCCCAAGAAAAGACTCCGGGGACCTTGCGCAGGTCGTCGATTCCATCGATGGAACCTGTGCCGCACCGCACCAAAAACCCTGACTCACGTTCGGAAGTGGATGGCATGGTCTCTTGGAAAAAACATGAAAAAAACGTTTCTCGACAAACATGGGGTCTTCCACTTCCAAACGTGCAGTCAGTACATGTCATGACCATCCGCAGTTTGTTTGTTTGGGATTCATTCTGAAAGACGAGTGTTTCTGGATGCATTGGGCTTGGCAAGCTCGACCTCTTGCCGCGCATGAGTTTGACACCATTCCGCCGCTCGGTCGGCGGGCGCCAGCGGGCGCCGCGCCAGGCAGCGCAGGGAAGCGGAACGTCATGGTCACACGCAACTTGGGCACAAGTTCAAGACCGAGTCTGAAGTGAGCTGTGCTTGAGGGTTTTTTCATGGTCAAATCAAGGTGAAACCATACAGTTTGGCTTGCTTGGCATGATCGTTTCCTGGACCCCAACAGAGGTGTTCCCATTTTTCCCGTGGATTTTTCCACCATAAAGCCAATGTAATGCAGATCTGTTGATGATATTTCAAGCCCCCATCTCCAGAATTTGTTTTATCGATTTTTATCGTATCTCTCCAGGCGCCAGGCAGTGCTTTCCATTGTTTTCCTCATCAACCAAGAAAACACCATGTATCACGGACGTTCTCCCACTTGGCTGCGCTGTTTCCTGAGGCTTAGATGCCATCTCAGAGGTCGTTCCGCGTCATGTGGAACCGAGTCGGGTTGGATGGAACTCCTGGGTCCTTGAGGTATTATGCTGATTATGCACTCTTTGAAATGTTGGATCTTGATTAGCAATAGGGTCCTCAAGAATGCCGAACATGTTCAAAAAAGTAATTCTGAACTCCACCTCTTTTGGTTTATATATAATAATATATACTATATGATATGTACGTGTGTTTTTATTTGCTTTTCATGGCAGCACCTGTACTTGGTCTTCGGATTTTTGGTCATCCGATTTCTTCAGGCCATGCAGCCCATCCGAAAAGCCCAGCAAAAGGGCACGGGGGGGGCACTGAGTGAGTGGCACTGAGAGGAAAATGCCTAACAAAACTCCTGGTGCATGATTGTTGTTTTAGTTTTTAGTTTTTGTTGGGCCACGATCAGGGGCAACTGATGGTTTCGTTTACGACTTACAGACTTGTTCCATCCACAAACTGTTCAAGGCCTAAAGATATTGTGTTTTTTTCACCCTGGAACACGTAGTTTACAAGATGAGGAGCCATGTGGTTTCATTTATCCAAGGTTCAGTGTTTGTGCAGTTGAGTTGAAGGTCAACCATTGGATGGGCCTAAAGGAGAGGGCGAGAGAGAGAGAGAGAGAGATGCAGACATGCACTCAAGATGATAACGATCTGATTGGGTAGCACTGTTGAATTCAATTCCGTCCTGCCAGCCTACGTATACAAACATGTCCTTTGGATAAACAAGTGCACCTAGCCTATGTACACATATGGTTTGCGTGCAAGCTCCAATGTAGGGGTGCTTTCCCTCTTGTTTGCGGTGGTTGGTCATGTCCCTCTACACGTGACCATCCCAGTTGCATGGCCAGGCTGCCCTAGAGGCTGCAAAGGCTTCATTGGAGCAGCAAGGCGCAACTGGGACAGTAGAAACAGCTTGTCGAGTTTCTGGGCGGCGGTTTTAACAGTTTCTACTTGTTTACCCTTCGACTCACTAACATGGAAGTGGAAACATGACTTGGATGGCTATTTTTACGAACAGGGTGGTTTCCACTTTTATGTTAGTGAGTCGGAGCGTGCCTTTTCTTGTCTCAATACCTGGGAATGATCCCCAAATTGACTACGTTAGGGCCGACTCAGCTCCCAATCAGTTGTCTTCTTTGGGTTCCAAATCATGACTGCTTTGCATGGGGTGTGTCCCATTACCTGTATATTACCTGTAACAGTCGGTCAACACGCGAATCAACCATTACCTGTATAGGTTCAGTGTAGCTCCATGAACTGTGTTCATTGTAGTATGGAATGAGGTTGTTGCGTTAGTGACACATACCAAATTGATGGTTGGTTGGTTTGTTTGCTTGCTTGCTTATTTGCTGTGTTTGTTTTTGTTTTGTGTGTGTTGGATGTGTTTTGTTTTGCTTTGGTTGGTTTGTGTCATGCAAGGCGGTGCGTTTGTTTGTTGGTTTGCTTGCAGTATGTATGATGGTACGCTATCGTCTACAAGGTGCAGGAACGTTGCGATGTTGCAGGCCTCGCCACCTTGGCCGGCGAGGCAGGGCCGGGCTGTTCTTACTTCGGCACTGTAGCGCGCATGCACCCGGACATGTCGGGGGAATCAAAAAACGCGCGGGTTTGTGGGGAACGGGCAGGTGCCTGACACATCCAAAGAAGAAATCCAAGTGGGTGGGCCCTGGCAGGTGGGCCCTTGGATGAGGAGGGGGGGTTAGGAGCTTTGCGGGCCCACCTCTTTCCAGCTGAGCGAGTCGGCACGACAGGCCTGCAGGCTGGAGGCATGTTCAAGTCTCTTTTTGGTGGCCGAGACAGAAGCAGAGGTCTATGGCTATGGCTCATCATGGCTCATCATGACTCCAATGGTGAAGGTAGGGTGGGAGGTGACTCTGGCTTTCAGCAGCCTTTCTTGGAGTCCTAGACCAGTAACATGAAGTAACATAAGTGGTGGGTTTGGAAGTTGAACCTGGACCAACCACCAGCTTAAAGACCACATAAAGCAACCACCAGCTTTTTGGAACTGGACCACCAGCTTCCTGGAACGGTTCTAAGCCAACCGGTCGGCACACTCGTTCCTCTTAACGGGCCGCCTTGCATACCCCTTGAATTGATCCCCGCGAGGCGGCTGATGGGCTTTCAGGATTGCCTCCGACGTTGGAGGGCGATCAGGAATGTGCCACGGCCAGTGATGAACTCAGAGAAGGTCCGACTGAAAGTGCTATAGTCAAAGAGTATTCAAAGAATGTATGACTCAATTGAGAATGACTTGACTAACAGCTAACATTGAGTGATACACTCTGTGATGGTGATACACTAGTTGGTCAACTCATTCTCAATTTAGTCATGCACTCTGTGATACTGATCATGTTTTTCTTCATGCGGATGGCATGTCCCCGAAAGACCATTTTCCGAATACAAAACTGGTGCTTTTAAGGATTCTTTTGAAGGAGTTGAATAGTGCTTGTATATGAATATGGGAGTTGATAGTGGTTGTATATGATGGAGTATGGTGCATCAATGGAAGGAGCATGGTGCCACGTCCGATTCGGACATTGCTTCGGCCGGCGAGATCACCGGCGAGTCATTTGAGGCCGCTCGGGCACTGACGCCATGAGCTTGTCGCATTCCAGGGGCCATTCCAGCGCGAGCGATGGAGCCCCGGGGGATCCAGACTCTTGGCGTGACAGATCTGTGGCGGGATGAAGGCGCGAGAGTCAGGAGAGAGGCGGATGAAGGCACCATCAACCTGCAATGACATTGGCAATGACATCACACGAATCGACGAAACCACCCTGGCATTCGCCAAACTCCAGGAAAATCCATGGAACCTGGTCTTTTTGTTGGGACCCATTGCCATCGTGACTCGGAGAAACATCGATGACACGAGCAGCCAGTCTGTACTATAGGTGTTTGAGCCTCATGCGGCTTCAATGGAGTTTCAATGGATCTTTTTTGGCCCCGCATACCCTGTCAATGGACCAATTTACAGTATAGTACAGTATATGGGGGACTAGTTTTCCCCACTAATATGAACACATTGAAAAGGATAACCTTTATTTATTGTCCAGGGAAACTGATGGGGTCAGGACCCTAAGTTACCCTAAGTGAGTAGAACCATCCCGGGGTTTTCTTCCCTTCATAGTGCCAGTCACGCCATCCAGGACAGCCTCCAATCTGCGAAGGATGTTTTCGATCATCAAGGCTGGGATGCCGCCCACCCCACCCTGCAGCCCAACAGAAGCAGTGCCGACGGCAGTGTAGAGTGTAGACTCAGGTTTTGCCATCGCGAAGGATTTTTAGTAGATGACCAAATGGAAGTTTAGTGCCCAGGATGCGTGAAATCCTACACCAAAAACATAGAAAAGCCCTTGCACATATATGTAATATAACAATGTAACATAGGGTTATTATGTCGCCATGTTTTCACGCCCACATCAGTCGCAGGTGCCAGTGCCACCGGTGACGGCACAAGTTCCTATACGCCAGCACCTTCCTCCTCGGCACTGATCTCTCAGGCAGCCGTGCTTCATTTGTGCAAGAAACACTAGAGAAAGACCATTGAACACTGTGTTATCAATTGTCAACCATCTAAAAGAAAGAACATTGTGTTGCCAGGCTGGTCCATTTGTGTTCTTATGTTTGTGTTTGTTTTCAGAGTGCTTTTTTCGTGATATATCGCGATATCCAAATGTAGGGGTTGCCCGGAACAATCATGGAAGTGGATGACATGGCTCCGATGTCGGATGCCCTTCCTCCAAGTACCAAACAGATGGTTTTCATGTGATTCCAGGGAGGGTAGGAACCTGCTTGCTTTGCCTTCTTTGCTTGGTTTGTACAGCACCTTTTGGGTCATGACGTGCATTGTGTGTTGTGGGTGCCTCAGATTGGTCACCGCCCTGGCGACCCATGTCCGGTCATGATCGAGACTTTAAGGCCCCTTCCGAAGCGTACCATTTGGCCGATACAACCAGGACTACCATATATGCCGGGCTACCTACCTATCACTTCAGCAACGTATAGACTTATAGTGGGGTTATATATGGTCAATGAGATGCAGCAATAAGTTTGTGACCATTTAATTCAATGCCCTAGCATTATGACCTGGATTAAAGCTAACTCTAATGAAGCAACTCACAACCCTAGCATTGGAAGATATTGGTAACTGACTCCGTGGTCACTTGACCAACCGAGCCACCGAGTGACCGAGGCCTTCGATTTCTACGCCAGCGGCCAGCACGGTTCAGAAAGGACATTCCTTCGATTTGTCCGAGCCTCATGCCGACAGGCGTTTGTTTGTGGGTCAAAATGCATTCCAACACCCATCCGGTTTCTCTAAATCAGGCTGCGAACAGCGCTTTTTTGAAGAGGTGTATTTCGTCTGTGTGTGTGCGTGCGTGTGTATGCGTGTGTGTTTTCTCGATGTCACTATTATATATTCATTCTCATTTGCGTTTGAATTTTTGTTGGTGAACAGGTTGTTGGCCGGGAAAATGGAGGATTCTACTACGATTCCAGACTCCAGACAGTGGTAGCCATGGAATCTTCGTAACTGTCCGGACTGGCTATATAAATCCACGGCCTCGCGGCTCGGGATCGACTGACACGCGGCTCCAGGTAGACTTGAAGGAATTCTCGGGCGACCTACGAGATGCCATGCCCAAGAAGAGGCGTGCAGATGTGGAGGAAGGAGATGGAAGGAGTTGTGGGAGGAAGCGGGAGTGTGTTCCTACCGAGAAGTGGACAAGCTGCAAGACCTTTTTGGGGGAGCTTGTCCACTTCATGGGGAAACCACTTCATAAATGTGTTCTACAAGCCCCATGAAGGAGATGGAAGAATGTGAACCTTGAAGTTCGGAAACCGTGAGGGAGTCACTTCCTGTATGTGCGCTTGCCATCCTTTGGCCATAGCGGCGATGGTGGTTAAGACGGTTAAGATGCTTGGTGCAGAGGTTGGAGTAGTGCTTTTGCACCACTGTACATGTGTTGTTTTTTGATCGGGAGATGCAAGATGTGCACGCCGCACGGGTGGATGGACATGTTGGCAGATCATGTGCGGATAGAATTCGTGCATGTAGTTACGTTGTGATATGCAGATAGAACATTGATGCAAGATGAGATATTCCGATGATTCTGTAACGTTTGGCCCTGGGGCACTCTATATACTTGATGGCCTGTGCCATGGAGTGCTGAAACGATCGATGCACTGTCAGAGAGCGGATGGAGACCTTTCTGGAGACCTGGGTTTGATCGATCAGTCTACGTGATGCTCCTCACACGAGGTGACAGGCACACCATCCGGAGCTGCCCGGCATTTGTACCAGGTCTCATGTGCTTCGCTCAGGTC